TGGGGCAGATACGGCCCCATGGCGCGCTGGGCAGCCGAGGCTGCGACAGACGGACAGACCCGGGGTCAGATGGACACATGGACCTGACCACGGGGGAGATGCTGAGCGCAGGGGGGCTGGGGGTCCAAGGGGGCCTGGGAGTCACTCGCCATTGGCCCCTAGGATAGTGGGGAGGAGTGAGGGGGAGCAGCTGAGGGGGGCGGTTCAGGGGGGTCACTCACCCATGGTCCCAGGGGGCCGTGGGGGGAGCCGAGGGGGGGCTGTTCGGGGAGGTCACTCACCCATGGCCCCAAGGGACTGTGGGGGGCGGTTTGGGGGGCCATGGAGGGGAGCCGAGGTGGGGGGGGTCACTCACCCATGGTCCCAGGGGTCCGTGGGGAGGAGCTGAGGGCGGGGTCACTCACCCATGGCCCCAGGGGGCCGTGGGGGGGAAGCTGAGGAGGGGGGTCGGTTCGGGGGGGGGGTCACTCACCGATGGCCCCCAGCGCGCTGATGGCCAGCTCCTTGGGGCGGGGCCCCCCCGGGGCGCGCAGGGTCCCCAGCGTCTGCTCCATCAGCACCGGCAGGAACGGCTCGATCCCGGCTCCTGCGTGAGGGGAGTTTACAGCCCTGCCCGGACACCTGGGTTGGGGGGGAGGGGGGGGGGCGGCGGCTCCTCAGCCGGGGGTCAGGGGCACCTGGGTGTCCCGGATGCCTGGGTTCTCCAGCAGGCAGGTAGGGGAATGGGGTGGTGCACCCGGACCCCTGGGTTCCCCAACTGAAGAAAGAAGGGGGTGACCTGGACCCCAGGGTCCCCCAGCCAGGACAGGGGCAGGGAGCTTTCCCGGACGCCAGGGTCCTCACCGAGACTCTCCACGAAGTTCTCCAAGGCGTAGTAGGCCTTGGCCAGGTGGCCCCCCCGTGCCAGCTCCACCCCCCCGAGGTAGGACAGCAGCAGCGGCAGCACCTCCCCCACATAGGCCGTGATGTCGGGCTGGGGGGGGAGGGGGAGAGTCAGTCAGAGGTCCCCCCCATCACCCCATGACCCCCCCTTACGCCAGCACCCCTTCCATCCACCCAGGCCCCCCAGTCGTGCCTCCTTGCCCCAGCCTCCCTCCCGATTTCCCCATAATCCCCTGGTGCCCCTTCCTTACCCCAGCCCTAGCCCCCCCATCACCCTGTGACCCCCAATCTCCCCCAGCCCCCCCAATAACCCTGTGACCCCATGGTACCCCTCCCTGCCCCGGCCCCCTCCCATCACCCCTTGCCCCCCCCACTCCCACCCCCAGCCCCCCGACCTGCAGGTTCTCCGAGAACTGCCCCAGGGCGAAGAGGGCCGCACTCCGCACCACTAGGCTCTCGTCGGCCAGCGACCGGCAAATCACCCCCAGCAGGGGCTGTAGGTGCCTGGTGGGGCAGAAGGGGCCAGTCAGGGGCCCCCCAAAACAAGCCTCCCTCGCCCGATCGCAATGGGCTCTGCCGAGCCTGTGTCCTATGCCCCATAGGGCCACCAGCGGCGATCCCCCTGGGGGACAGGACAACGCTGCGTACCCAGCCCCCTGCTGCTGAGTCCAGTGGCCCCCAGAGCAGAAATGGGCCCCCCAGCAGGATTCACCCCCCCGCATGAAGTCAGCACCCCACAGCGTGTCTCCCTCCCCCACCCGCACAGCCCCCCCAGGGAACAGCCCACCTGGTGCGGATGTGATCCCCACAGCCCTCGGCCAGCACCGCCACCACCATGAGCCCGGCCTTGCGCTGGTAGGGCTGGGGGCTCCGCAGGGCCGGCTCCAGGTGCGGCATCTGGGGGTGGACAGAAGAGGTTGGGTTGTTACCTGCCCCCCCAGCCAGCCACAGGCCCCGCTCAACTCCAATGGCCCCGCCCCCTGCCCCAGCCTCACCCCTCCAGGCAGCCACAGGCCCCGCCCCCTGCCCCAGCCTCACCCCTCCAGCCAGCCACAGGTCCCACCCCACCCCCATGGCCCCACCCCCTGCCTCACCTCACCAGCCAGCCCCAGCCCCGCCCCCAGCTGGTCCCACTCCTGCCATGTCACTGGCCCACCCCACAACCAGCCACACAGCCTGCCCCCAGCCAGCCACAGGCCTTGCCCCCAGCCACAGTCCTGCCCCCCAGGCTCTCACCAGCTGGGGGAAGAGTTTCTCAGGGGGCAGGTGCAGGGCCAGCATGTCGATCACCTGGAGGGAGAAATGAGGGTGACGGGGGGCGATGGCTCCGGATTCCCCCCCTCCCCCCGTACCAGCCAGGGGTTCCCTCCCCCCGGGCTCCTCAGCCCTCCCCCAGCGCAGGGGGGGCATTGGGGGGCTCACCTGGGCGGCCACATGTTTGGGGGTCTGGGCCTCGTCCCCCTCGTCCTCGCCCTCCTGGTCCTCGGCGTCCAGCTGCCCCGGGGGGGGCTCCGCGCTCAGGATGGGGAACAGGGCGTCCAGCACGGGGGGCAGCAGCCGCTGCTTCAGCACAGCCTGCGGGGGGGAGAACCTGAGCCCCGAGCCCTGAACCCGCCCCCAGCCCCCCCAATCCCAACCCCCCACGCCAGCCGGCCCCCCCTCATTCCTCCCAGCCAGCCAGCACTCCCCGAACTCCAATCCTCATCCCCCTGAGCCCCCCGGCCCACCTACCTTGCCCCGCAGTTTGATGAGGAAGCTGAGGGTGGAAAGCGCCTTCACCCGCAGCGCGTCCCCCAGCGCCCGGTTCGACGCCACCTGGGGAGAGGAGCAACCATTGGCACTGCCCGGACACCTGGGTTCCCCGCTGGGGGAATGGGGCTCATGGAATTGCCCGGATGCCTGGGTTCCCCAGAAGGGATCTCTGTAACCCTGTGAAGCTGCGTGTGCGAGCGGCCGTGCGGGTGTGTGTGTTCAGGGAGTTGCCCAGATGCCTGAGTCCCCCTGCGGAGGGGGAGGGGGCTCGCGGCCACCTGGATGCTTGGGTCCCCCTGCGGGCTGGAGGGGGCTCGCGGCCCCCCGGGTTCCCTGGCTCACCTCCAGGCAGAAGCCGACGACGTCGGAGAGATGCTGGACAATGACTGAGACTTCGCTCTCCATCAGCTCGTCAAAGACCTCCATGGCTTCGCTGGCGTGCACCTGGGGGGGGCCGGACACACCCGAGTCAGGGGCCTCGACACGCCATACAACCCCCCCAGCCCCGCCCCCATGCCAGTGCCCCCCAATAACCCCTCATTCCCCCCCTCACCTCGTTAACGGGAATCAGCTGCCTGACGGCCGAGATAATCTTCGGGACCAGGGAGCGCATGAGATTCTGGGGGGGTGGAGACAGACGGGATGAGGGGGGACCCCCCGAGATACAGGGATCCCCCCATCTCCTGGAGGCAGGAGGAGGGAATGGCTGGGGGAGTCGGGGGATAGGGGGGATGAGGGATCGGTGGGTTCCGGGGAACAGGGCACGGTGGGGGACAGATAGGAGGCCCAGGGGGTTCTGGCGCATAGGGGGCTCTGGTGAGGGGCTCAGGAGGGATGGTGAGTTCTGGGGTGTGTGGAGTTGGTGAGGGGCTCAGGGGCGCGTGGGGAAGGCGGGGCGGGCAGGGGGCTCAGGGGATGGGTGGGGGCTCAAGGGCACGTGGGGAAGGCGGGGGTGGGAAGGGGGCTCGGGGGGCTCAGGGGTGCCTGGGGAAGGTGGGGGGCTCAGGGGGAGGTGGGGGATTCAGGGAGACAGTGGGGCCAGGCAGGGGCTCAGGGGGAGGTGGGGGACTCAGGGGGACGGTGGGGCCAGGCAGGTGCTCAGGGGTGCATGGGGAAGGTGGGGGGGCTCAGGGGGATGGATGGGGCCAGGCAGGGGCTCAGGGGGATGTGGGGAAGGTGGAGGCTCAGGGGGCCGGGGCTCACCAGGTGGTCGGAGCCCAGCCCGGCGGCCATGGCTGCCAGCCCCCGCAGGCTATAGTAGAGCGCCCCCGGCTGGCCGCGCTGGCCCAGGGCGCTGTGGAAGAGACGCAGCAGGGCGGTGTAGTGGGGGGTGAAGGCCTCAGGGTCCGACTCCAGAGCCGAGCTCAGCACCAGCAGCGAGATCTGCGGGGGAGGGAGACCCTGTGGGTCAGAGCCCCCCACCTACCAACTCCCCAAATCACAGCCTCCCACCTATCCCCGCCTGCCCTCCCCCCCAATCACAGTCCCGACACCCCCCCTCAATCCCTGCCTGCCCTCCCCCCCAATCACAGTCCCCTGATGCCCCCCCTCAATCCCCGCCTGCCCTCCCCCCCAATCACAGTCCCCTGACGGCCCCCCCCCCTCAATCCCCAACTGGCCTCCCCGAGATCGGAGCCCCCCAACCAGGTTCCCAGAACCAGCAGCTCCATCGACCGGGGTTCAGAGTTTGAAAGACAGCCTGGCCCTGCTCCCTGCCCCGCTCCCCCAGCTGGAGCCCCCCCTACCTGGCGGTGGTGGGGGTCGGGGCCGCGCACCCCCTGCTGGATGAGCTGCAGGAGCTGGGGCCAGCGCTCCAGCCCCTGGTGCCGCAGAAGCAGCGCGGCCAGCTGGGCCAGGGCCACGGAGACCTGGTGCCTGGGGGGGGGAAGACACAGGTGGGGGACATGTTGGGTGGGTGCGGGGGATAGAGGGGGGACCCAGGAGGGCTTTGGGGGACACCCACACTGTTTGGAATTGCAAGGGTAATGGGGGGCAGGGGGCTCTGGGGTTGCAGGGATGGAGGGACAGGGCAGTGGGAGCTAGGGGGGTGGGGACAGGGGGTCCAGGGACTGCAGAGATGGGGGGAGGGGCAGGAGAGGCCTCCCCAAATCCTCCATTTCCTGCTGGAGGGGAAGGGGGCTGTGGAGGGGGCTGTGGGGCAGGAAATCGCCCCCCCAACACTCACTCTGCTTCCTGCTGCAGGGCTCCCAGAACCAAGCTCTTCAGCCTGAGAGAGAGAGAGAGAGAAAGGGGGGGTCAGGCAGGGTGAACCCCAGCCCCATCAGACAGGGAGGGGGGAACCCCTCGCGCCCCAGCACCCACCTGTCCTGCTCCTCGGGGTTCAGCTTCCGCCAGTGCTTGGTGAGACGCCGGCGGAGGAGCACGGCTGCCAGTTGCCGGATCTGGGGGGCAGAGAGCGGGGGGGGGGCCGGACAGGGGAGGGGAAGGGGGCGGGGATCCCCTGAGCAGAGGGAGTCAGACAAGGTGACGGGGATCCCGGAGGGGGAGGGGGGATCCCCTAGGGGGGGGTCACTCACCTGGGGGTCCGGGGCCCCTGCCAGCAGCTGGCAGAGCTGGGGCAGCACCTCGGGGTGTCTGAAGGCCTCACGCAGCTGGGCCGTGGCCTTGGGGGGGGGAGCAGAGATTGTCACGGAGGGGCCCAGATCCCCCTGCCCCCCAACCCAGCGCCCCCCAGCACTCCCTTCCCAATACCCCCAGCCCCACAGTGAGGCCAGCTCCCCCCAGCGTCCTCTCCCCCCCACCTGCTGGATCAGGGCGTTGTCTGGCTGCAGCAGGTCGGACAGGACCCGGCCCAGCCCGCCGGGCTCCATCGAGGGGACAGTGGGGGGGGGGGCACCAGCGGGGGAGGGGCCCTACAATGGGGGGCGCAGGCCGGGGGGGGCGCAATGGGGGAGGGGCCCGGCAATGGGGGGCTCAGGCCAGGGGGAGGGGCCGGGACTCGGCAGCCAGCGAGTCCCGCACAGCAGCACGTGGGGGGAGTAGAGAGGAGCAGACGAGTCCCGGCTTCCGGGAGATAGAGCGGCCCTAGGCCCCGCCAGTCATGCCCCGCCCTTCTGTGGCCCAGGAAGACTCGCCGCAGCCCAGGAGAAAGGCCGGGAGTTAACCCCTTCCGCGCCGCACTGCTGGGCGCCAGGACTCCTGGGTTCTCTCCCTGGTTCTGGGAAGGGAGCAGCATCCAGTGGTTAGACCCCGGGTTCTAGCCTCGGCTCTGGGAGGGGAGGCAGGACCCAGGACTCCTGGGTCCTATAGACACCACCACACTAATTTTTATTAACAAAGTTTATTCCGAGATCTGTACAAAGAAATCATCAGAACCAACCAAATCAAATAAAAATAAAATATTCAATTGCCCCAGCCCCCCCGCTACCCGCGAGCCCCCCTATATATATCAATAGCACTACAGGTGTCGGCACACAGCCAGCAATGGGGGTGGGGGGTTGTGGGGTATATCCCCTCCCCGCTGAGGTCTCTGGGATACTTTGCCAGCCCTACACGGAATCTGCTCTCCATTAGATCCTGACCCCCCTGTGATCTGTGCCACCAAGAGGGGATCTTATCAGGCAATCCTGCTTGCCATGGGGAGATCTACCGCCAACCCCACATGGGATCCAGTTGATCTGGGGAAGCCCCCAGGGATCCAGCCAATTGCCCATGGGGGATCTCCTCCTCCCGCCCAGGGATCTCATCATAGGATCTGCTCCCAGCCCCACAAGGAATCTGGCCTCCCTCTGCTAGCATTCTACCAGGGGGATCCAGCTATCTGTGGGGGACCCTATCAGGGGATCCAGCTAGGCGTGGGGGCCCATCCCCAAGAGGGGAGCCAGCTGGCTGCAGGGGATCCACTTCCACTCTCAACCCCAGGTGGATCCAGCAGATCCACCAGGGATCCACAATCTGCCCCAACAGCATGCAGGGAGCTCACACGGGGATCCACTCCCAGCCCCATGTGGGATCTGCCTGTGCCTCCCCCTTTGGGAGGGATCCACTTCCAAGCTTTACCCCCCCGAGGGAATCTCACGGGGATCCAGGGAACTGGACACCTGCCCCCTCCGCCCTCAAGGGGTGAGTCTTGATCTGTCAGACTGACCCCGCCCTTGGCCAGTCAGTCCATTCCCATCACCTGATTGGCCAGTCATCCTGAGTGGAGTAGCTGGTCCCCCATCACGGGAGAACTTTAGAGCTGCCCACCCACTGACAGTGAACTGGTCAGTCGGCTGATCATCCTACCCAATGAAGGGCAATGATGGAGGTGGGGCAATCTTTAATGGTGCCCTGTGACTGACCAGACATTTCAGCCAATAGGAGGGTAAGATCCTTAATGGTCTCAGCCAATGGGAGGGGCGCTTTTTAGGGTTGCCATTTTTTGCCATGCCGGCCAATTGGCTGAACATCTTGGTCAATGGGAGGGGAGCTCTGTAACAGTCCCAGCCGATGGAAGGGGAGCTCTTTGGAGGATCCATAGCCGCTGACTGGCCAGACATTACAGCCAATGAGAAGAGATCCCTAGGGGATCCATACTCGCTGACTGGTCAGACATTACAGCCAATGAGAGAAGAGATCTTTAAGAGCGCCATTTTTATCCACCATCTGGCCAAGCGTCATGGCCAATGAGAAGGGAACTCCATAGAAGCCCCAGCCAATGAGAGAGATCTTTAAGGGAAGTCATATTTAACCATGGCCAACTGGAGAGGGTCCCTCAGTCCATCTTGAGGTTGACATAGATGTAGCGGATAAACTTGAGCGAGGCGAAGAAGGAGACGGTGCCCAACATGAGGAAGAAGACGTAGCCAGTGAGGAGGGAGTAGCCGAAGAACTCCACGGTCTGCACCGCACCCGACATGTTGGAGCGGCGCGAGTAGTAGAAGACGGAGTAGAGGAAGATGAAGACGCCGGTGGAGCCGGCGCTGAGCACCGAGCGCCACCACCAGTGGTAGTCCTCGCCCGAGAGCTGGAAGTAGGTGAGGGCGATGGAGATGCAGGCGCCCACGCTCAGCAAGATGGCGAAGACAAAGAAGAGGATGCCGTAGAGGGTGTACTGCTCCCGGCCCCACACCGTGGCAAAGATGTAGTAGAGCTCCACAGAAATGGCACTGGAGGGTAAGAGAGAGACAGGGTCAGCTGGGGGGCAGAGGTGGGATCCCACTGTTCGGGGGATCAAATAGTCCAGCTGGAGAGGTGAAGGGATGTGATTGGCTCATGCCAAGGAGGTGATGTCATCACGTGCCCAAAAAACAGGAAGTGGGAAGGGCGAGACAGGAAGTGGCATCCTCGGGAGAAAGTGACATGACTGTCTAGGTAAGAGGAAGCGGGAAAACGAAAGTGCCAACCCGTGAGGCTGGAAGTGGCAATGAGGGGTAAGACAGGAATCAGTGGCGCCTCCTATGGAGAGCATGGCAGACAGGAAGTGGAGGGGGTGCTCACCGGAAGGGCAGGAAGTGAGGTGGCAGGCACACAGAAAGCGGGGGGTGGGGCTCACCTGAAGGGCAGGAAGCCCCCAATGGTCATGTGCACCAGCGTGGCCTTGTACCAGGGCTGTGGTGGGATCTCGCGGGCGATGTTCTTGGTGCGGCAGGGTGCGTCGAAGGGGCCGGCCCGGTTTTTGCCGAAGATGCCCCCGATAACAGTGAGGGGGAAGCCCACCAGCAGCCAGACCGTCAGCAGCAGCAGGATGGTGGTGGCCGGCAGGGCCTGTGTCGAGCCATTAGCCCAGTGCACCGAGTTCACCACGCTCCACGTCACGAAGAAGGGGGCTGGGAGAATAGGGGGCAGGTCAGAGGGACCAATGAGACCCAAACCACCTTCCCCAAGGGTCCATAGAGTCTCCCCAAGGGGGACCAGAGAGACCCAGACCACCTCCTCCAGGGGACCACAGAGACTTCCAAAGGGTGACCAGAAAGACTCTCTCTGCTTCCCACCGGAATCATAGAGACCTCTCTAGAGGGACCAAAAGGCGCAACCTATCACCCCAGGAGGCCATAGAGACCCTACACAACCCACAGACCCACCTGGCGCACCCAACCCGCCTACCCTGGGCAAGAGGACCCCCGGGGAACCTGGGCAGAGATGGAGGGCTCCAGGGCCTCACCGGAGAAGAGGCTGGTGGTCAGCACGATGTTCCAGACCCAGCGCTCACCCCCGACCTGCCGGTAGAAGTTGCTGGAGACGTAGCCGGAGATGCAGCAGGTCAGGGCGTAGAGCAGGATGGCGGCGGAGTTGATGGCACCGTGCCGGTGGACGTTGAACATGCCCAGCAGGGCCATGGCGATGATGCCCGTGCCCAGTGCCAGGAACTGGCTGCCCACGCCCAGGACAGCGCAGAGGAGGCTGCGGCAGGGCGGGAAGCGGAAGACATCGGTGTGGATGATCTTCCAGCCGTTGTCGCCGTGGTCGAAGTCATCCCCGGAGGAGGAGGAGGAAGCTTCTTCGTCCAGGTTGTACCGGGCCAGGTCGTTCTTCAGCACCCGCATGAGGATGACCACCACGAAGCCCACTAGAAGAAAGACCAGCACCATGGAGTTGATAATGGAGAGCCAGTGGATCTCCAGGGTGCGGGGGAAGAAGCCCCCATCATCCCCCCGGCCCCGCCGCTCCCCCCGCCGCTCCGAGGCTGTCTCGGACCAGCGGACACTGTAGGTGTGGGTCAGGGAGAGGGGCCCAGGCCCACGGACGTCATCCAGGCTGTGTGGCTTGACGTCCCGCACGCTGACGTTGGCGTAGATGATGCGGTCGCCGTTCCACTCCAGGTGGAAGTCCAGATGGGTCCACAGCCCGATCTTGTGGCTGTGGGGCAGAAAGCCACTTTCCTCCATGTACCCCACGAACCCTCGCAGCGGGATGTCGTCCACCATGAACTCAAAGTAGTACAGCTCCTCAATGGCCTGCCGCAGGCGCTCCACCTGCCGGGAGACAGACGGGGTAGGACCCAGGAGTCCTGGTGCCCAGCCCCTCCTGGTCTTTCCCACTAGACCCCACTCCCCTCCCAGAGCTGTGGACAGAACCCAGGAGTCCTGGCTCCCAGTCCCCACGCACTAGCCCCCACTCCCATCCAAGAGCTGGGTACATAACCCAGGAGACCTGGCTCCCAGGCCCCCATGCTCTAACGACTAGACCCCGCTCCCCTCCCAGAGCCGGGGCCAGAACCCAGGAGTCCTGGCTCCTGATCTGAGCTCCCATGCCCTGTTCCTGGGACAGAAGCTAGGTGGTCCCAGTTCCTGCTCTAAATCCATCGACCCAGGCTCGCCCTCCTTGATCCAGGAATGGGACCCAGGCATCCAGGCCCAGTCTACCTGATCCAGCGTGAGCGTCTTCACGCACAGGACCGTCTTCTCGACGCTCTCTCGGAAGCGGATCTGATACATGGACTCGGCCATGCGGTCCCCATCCAGGACCTCCCCAAGGCTCAGGCTCTTATGACGGATCTTTTCCGGAGAGCACACGGGCAGCTGGTAGTAGTGGTAGGTCTCCTGGGGGTTGTGGTAGGGCCCCACCTTGTTGACGTAGAGCACGACGGGGTCCCCGGGCTGGTAGCGGGTCTCAGAGGAGCCCGGGGGTGGCCAGGAGGCCAGCAGGAGGAGCAGCAGCCAGGGCTGGTGGGGAGCCATGGGGTGGGCAGGGAAGGGGGAGATGGGGCGGGGTCTGGAGAAGGAAGGCAGGAGACAAGGGAAGAGAGGAAGTGAAGCCAGGTCCTCAGGACACCTGGGTTCTCACCCACCTGGGATGGTCAGCACCCAATGCCAGAGCCCCCAGCCACGCCCAGCGGTGCTCTAGCCATGGGGTATCCCTGGATCACGCCAACCTGTGCTCCTGAGACCTCTACCCTGCACGCCCACCCTGGTGCCGGACCTGAAATTGGCGCGTAAGACGCCCCTGGCAAACAAGCCTAGAGATTTGCTCCTCTGACCCGCCTTGTCCCAGTGGCACCGGAGACTGGCAAAGTGCCCATGGTGCCAGCTTGGGGCCGCCATCGACCCGAACGCCCTCGTGGTGCCCACACTCGAGGGGCCGGACAGAGCTCCTGAGAGCCCCGCCGGCCCAGGGCGGGAGGAAGCGGGGGGTTTTCAGACTATTTGTGTTCAGATAGCAAGTGCCTCAGTTTCCTTGGATCTCTGGAGCCTTCTGCACAGATGCCAGCCCCTCCCCCTCGTTCTTCGTGCAGCACGTCGGGGAAACTGAGGCACGCACACTACACATGGAAAACATTCTGAAAACAACCCAACCCGGCACACAGGGATCAGGGTCCTCAAGCCCCGCCCCCCACTGACACCCCCCCGAGGTCCTCGCGCCTCCCCCACTGATCCGCCCCCTGCCTGGGGTCCTCGCGCCCCGCCCCCCACTGACTCCTCTGGGGTCCTCGCGCCCCCCTACCACTGACCCGCCCCGCTGACCGGAGGCTGCCCGGGCCGCGCCTGCCGCCTGGAAGGTCTCGTGGCCCCGCGCCCGGCAGCGGGGTGTCCCTAGCAGCAGGCAAGCAGCCAGACAACTGCACCCAGCCTGGGGGCCTCGCGGCTCTAGAGCATCCTTCCCGGCGCCTGATCCTGGGGTCCCCCCGCTCCGCTCCCCGCCGCTGGCCGCCCCCCAGGCCGGCTCCCCCAGATTCGCACCAACAGGGAGCGCAGACCCCACCGCCGGGATCCCTCCCTGGGCGGAGCCAGGGACCAAAACGCGTCGGGGTCCTTCAGGCGATCACCAAGACAGCCCGAGCCACGTCCGTCCCCTACTTCCGCCCTCAGCGCCCCCGGCGGGCTTCGTGCCCAGAGCGTGACGCACGTCCGGCGCCTGAGAGGGCCCGGCCCCGCACGCTCTTAAAGGGCCAGGCAGCTGTTTCCAGGAGGGTCAATGTTGGGGGGGCGGGGCAGCAAATGGGGAGGTGGCAGCTGGTCTCCCCCATATAACGGTCCCCTACAGACCCCATTATCCCACAAATTAAGAGCCCCAAATTCCACATTGGCCCCAATCTAACCCCCCAATTTCTCAGTGACCCCCAAATTGAACCCCCAAAATCCCAATGGCCCCCCAAACAATCCAATTTCTCAGTTTCCCTCAAGTTGATCCCCATGTCCCCAAATGAAGAGACCCCAAAACCCCAGTGCCCCCCCCGAATTCAGAGCCCCAAATACCACAGTGGCCCCCATATAAGGACCCCCAATTTTTCAGTGCTCCCCCAAGTTGAGCCCCATGGCCCCCCATATTAAGAGACCCCAAATGCCCCAAAAACCGCACTGCCCCCCAAAGTCAGAGACACAAATACAACAGTGGCCCCCATATAAGGAACCCCAATTTCTCAGTGCTTCCCCAAATTGAGACCCCCATTTATGAGCCCTTCAGATGCCCCATTACCTCCTCAATTTAAGACCCCTCCAAATTCCTTAGTGTCCCTCCATTGCCTCAGTGGTTCCCCACAAATGAGGGTCTTTTGTGGCCCCCCAAATAAGTCCCCCAATGCTCCACCGTCCCCCAGATTTCCCCGTGATCCCCAAACAAGGCCCCACTTCCCCCTACAAAGAAAGACCTCTGCAGTGTCCCCCAATATCTCAGTATCCCCCAAATGCTGAGGCCCCCTCAATGCCTCTGTGCTCACCCCCAGTCTGGAACCCTGCCCCCCCGTATCCCCGGTAACAGGTGTCGGCCAATGTGGGCCGGCGGAACACTGGGGCGATGTTGGCGGAACCCTGGAGTTGGGGGGCGATTCTGGTCACCGGGTCGGAGGACAGAGTGAAGCAGGTGAGAGTGGTCAGTGGGGTCACAGCCCCAGTGGGGACCCGGAGGTCAGGGCAGTTCTTGGGGGGGGGTCACAGCCCCAGTGGGGAGCCGGGGGAGGCCAGGGTAGTTCTTGGGGGGGGGTCACAGCCCCAGCGGGGAGCCGGGGGAAGCCAGGGCACTTCTCACGGGGGTCACAGCCCCAGTGGGGAGCCGGGGGAGGCCAGGGCAGTTCTTGGGGGGGGGGTCACAGCCCCAGTGGGGAGTGGGAGGGTTCCTGGGGGTCACAGACCCATGGGGGAGGGTTAAGGTGGGTCAGAGCCCCAGGGTTGGCTCATTGAGGTCCCAGCCCCACTGGGGGCCAGGGGTTTCATTGGGGGTCCCAGCTAGGATCTAATCACCTGCCCCACCCCCAGAGGGGAGACTCTCTGGCACCGGACGCACAAAGCCCCCCGTCCCCTCGGAGGGGCGAGAGGCTGCCATGGTGGAGACGGCCCCCTCAGCCCCCTACCTGTCCGTCATGGACCAATACGGCTACCAGCTGGGCAAGGTCATCGGCCACGGCTCCTACGGCATTGTCTACGAGGCCTATTTCACCAAGCAGAAGGCCAAGGTGGCCATCAAAATCATCTCCAAGAAGAAGGCGTCTGAGGACTATCTCAACAAATTCCTGCCCCGTGAGATCCAGGTAGCTAGGGAGCGCCGTGGGGTGGGAGTGCTGGTCAGGGGGTGCCATGGGGTGGGGAGCTGGGCAAGCGGGATCGTCATGGGATGCTGTGGGGGCAGGACAGGGGGTGCTGTGGGGCGGGCGGGGGGATCAGCAGGGGGCAGGCGAGGGGGGATCAGCAAGGGGCGCTGTGGGGCTGGAGGCTATGCAGGGGGTGCCATGGGGCAGGGGGCAGGCCAGGGTGGATCAGCTGAGGACACTGTGGGGCAGGGGGCAGGCCAGGGGGGATAAGTAGGGGGTGCTGTGGGCTCGGCAGGGGGCACTGTGGGGCTGTAGGCTCGGCAAGGGGGATCAGCAGGGGGTGCTGTGGGGCAGGGGGCAGACCAGGGGGGAACAGCAGGGGGTGCTGTGGGCTCGGCAGGGGGCGCTGTGGGGCTGTAGGCTCGGCAGCGGGCGCTGTGGAGCAGGGAGCACCGTGGGGCAGAGGGCAGGCCAGGGGGGAACAGCAGGGGGCGCTGTGGGGCTGGGGGCGCTGTGGAGCAGGGGGCACTGTGGGGCAGGGGCAGGCCAAGGGGGCTCAGCAGGGGGCGCTGTGGGCTCAGCAGGGGGCACTGTGGGGCTGTGGAGCAGGGGGCGCCGTGGGGCAGGCGGGCACCGTTAACCCCTCGCTGCCCACAGGTGATGAAGGGTCTGCACCACAAGTACCTCATCACCTTCTACCAGGCCATCGAGACCACGTCGCGCCATTACATCATCATGGAGCTGGCGCCCGGCGGCGACGTCCTCGAGTGGATCCAGAACTCGGGGCCCTGCGCCGAGCCCCTGGCCGGCCGCTGGTTCGCGCAGCTCACCCTGGGCGTGGCCTATCTGCACAGCAAGGGCATCGTGCACCGGTGAGGGGCCAAGCCGCAGGCTGCAGCCACTAGGGGGCGCCTGTCGCCGCTTGGGAATTACAGTGGGTCCTGCTCCATTGGGGGCTGGGCCATTCCCCTCCCCTGGCACTGCCAGCCCCCAGTGCCCCCGCCTTTCCTGGTGCACCTCTGCCACCTCCAGCCTCGCCACGGGCGGAGCGTGCCTCAGTTTACCAGCTTCCCTTCTGCCTCCTGCGCCACATGCAGCTGGAGGGCCAAGGCGGGGGGGGGGGAATATTCTCTCACCCAGGCACCGCCATGAAGCCGAGCGGCCCCCGCCCCGGCTGGGCAAGGCTGCCCACCCCCGCGTTCCCCCCCCCCAGAGCTCCCCAGCCCTGAGTCCCAGCCACGCTGCATCCCACCTCTTGGATCTGCCCCTCAAGCCCACTAAGCACTCCACAGGCTTCCCCGGGGACACCCCACATGCCTTCGGGGGGACCCACAGACCCCTGGGAGCCCCCCTGCCCACTGGCATCACCAGCCAGTGCCCCTAGAGGGGAACGGCCCCATGCCCCATTCCCTGAGCCAGCCATCCCTGCCCTGCGGCCGGATCAGAGCTGGCGCCCCCTAGAGGGGAAAGGCCCCGCGCCCCATCCCCGGCGCCCCCTAGGGGTAGCCCCACACCCCCGCCCACCCCCCGCTCCCTCCCGCAGGGACCTGAAGCTGGAGAACCTGCTGCTGGACAAGCGGGAGAACGTGAAGATCTCGGACTTTGGCTTCTCCAAGCAGATGGTGTCACAGGCCCAGCCGCCCGCCAGCCCCTCGTACCCGCTGCTGGCAGGCGCCAGCCCCCTAAGCCAGACCTACTGCGGCAGCTTCGCCTATGCCTGCCCCGAGATCCTGCTGGGGCTGCCCTACAACCCCTTCCTGGCCGATACCTGGAGCATGGGCGTGATCCTCTACACGTTGGCCGTGGCCCACCTGCCCTTCGACGACACCAACCTCAAGCGCCTGCTGCGGGAGACCCAGAAGGAGGTGGTCTTCCCCCCCCAGCCGCCAGTCTCCGAGGAGTGCAAGGTGGGCGGTGGGGAGGGCACTGGGCTGCAGGCCATCAGGGGGCGCTGCGTGGCCCGCAGAGAGTCGGGGAGCTGGCCAGCAG